TCTTTTTAGAATTTTTCTAACAGCATCAATATCATACCCATTGCCACCAAGTCGATTCTGACTCATAGCGACCCCACAGGACAGAGTAGAACTAACTGTCCCATAGTGTTTCCAAGGAGCGGCTGGTGGATTCAAACTGCAGACCTTTTGGTTAGCAGCTGTAGCACAGAAGGATGTACAATTATTGTAGTTATTATATTTATCATCTAGTATTAATTGTTCCTACATTTAAATAATTGATTTTATTACTTTCCTGGATTGTTAAATCTTTACTTATTTATTATTTTATCTATGATTGGTTTTGGACATTAACAATAAGTCAAAAGTCTGTCTTTACAGAATGTTATAATTACTGTTTTTTTTTTTTCAAATAAAAAACAATGTTTACTCCTAAAAAACAAATTGGGCTTAGAATAGTAATAAAGTAATTTTGAGTAAGAGTAATAATATTTATATTTTATAAATTTTTCAGAATTTTAATTGACTGAAATGAAAACTATTATCTCAAACTTCCAATTTTACTTACTTTAAGCAGAACAAAAAATAATGGTTTAATGAGATAGTTACTTTAATGGAGTTACGTCCATTTAGATGTCTCCATTCTCAAAAAATTGATCTTCTGAATCCATAAAGAAATAATATATTATCCCCATTATATTACTTATATAGTGACTTTTAAATTTTACAGATATTTATTTTTCCACCACAGGACTGGCTTTTTAATTAAAGCTAGAAAGTCATTAGGTTTGAAGATAAATACATTTAAGCCAAAAAAGTCACTGCATAAGCAATATAACCAGTTGCCATTGACTCTGACCCATGGCAAACCCACGGGTATCAGAGTAGAATTGCACTCCACAGGGTTTTCAATAGCTGATTTTTTTGCAAGTAGATCACCAGGTCTTTCTTCTGAGGTGCCTCTCGGTGAACTCAAATCTCCAACCTTCTAGTTAGCAACTGACTGCGTTAACTGTTTGCACTACTCAGGAACTCCCATAAGCAATGTAATGACAATTAAATACTAGCCTAAGTGTCTCATTTACAAGCGAGTTATAAAATGAAGCAATGATGGCAAACTATGTAGACCCACATACATACTTAAAGGATTTTTTAAAAATCGTATGCAAAAATGTTTTAGATTTTGCCTGTTAATGTAAAATATGAAATGAAGTTCTTTCATGAGTTCAGTTATACCAGAATCAGATCAGAATCAGATAAGCTCAGAAACACAATTAATAGTAAAGGCTAAATTGCTTCATAAAATTGCTGAATCACTTATGTTACCTAGCCCTGTATGGGGACCAAAGAAGCACAGAAATAAAGAAAAGGCCCCCCTTCCCAATAACCCTATTGTCAGATGCACTGACACACATCATGTGCAAGTGACATAATGGCTCTGATGCAGTGACAGCACTCATTCATATGCTTTTACAATCAAGAGTTTCAACGCAGGTTCACATGTATAACCTTGTAACTGTGCTATTAAAAATCCTGATGCTTGGAGAACATTTTTTTTCCTGTACAGGAGTACCAAATGAACCACTGTGGATAAATATTCAAGCAAACACTTTGAAATACATAAGATTATGGAACTATCCCATAGGCATGTACCCCGATGGTATAGCTACAACAACAGCAAGGTATGAAAGCTTGACAGCAAAGGATCATTCTGGAATTTAAGTAGCTCTAGTAAGTAGATCTAAATTTCGTATTAAATGATGTTATCAAAATGGTGTATCTAATAAAATCTAAGTCCTCATAGTCCCATTTGTTTACATTGTTATGCAAATGGAATCAAATACCATCCTCTGCTGTTTCATATTGGAGTTGGCCGGTTGTCCAAAAGAAAAGTTTTGTCAAGACTTACTAAACTCAAGAAAACTGAAAATTTTGTGTATGAACAATTATCACTTTGCAGATTTGTTAAAGAATGTTTATGAGCTTAAAAACAGACTTTTGAACAACAGGAAGATCCTGTAAGAAACAGGTGAAAATATATTAATGTACTGACAAAAACGATTTTCTAGTGATATGTAGTTCAGTTATAATTTGAAGAACTGAAAAGTAGTACAGTAACATCCGTGTATGCTTGAGGAAAAGCTTCATCACTATTCAGAAATACCGGATATGAAAAAGTACTGTTGGGATAAAATCTTATTTCATCACCACAAGAAACTTTAACACTGTATTTGTCAATAAAAGAAAAAGAAAAGCAATTAGATTTAAAGAATATTCATGCCCTTAAAATACAATTTAAAGAGACTGGTCAATGTAAATTCTGTTTTGTGGTGAGAAAGAAGTTTTTGTTAATTGGAAAAGAAACAATAACTATTCTTCAGCCATTTGCTACCACCTACACATGTGGTTTCCTGACGGTATTAAAAAAAACAGCAAAAATCAAACCCATTGCCATCCAGTGGATTCTGACTCATAGCGACCCTGCTGGACAGAGTACAACTGCCCCATAGGGTTTCTAAGGAGCAGCTGGTGGATTTGAACTGCAGCAGCCATAGCTCTTAACCACTGTGCCCCCAGGGCTCCTTCATGGTGTTAGTTATCAAGAATTTGAAGAAATCAGCTAAAAACTCATGAACTGGAAAGTGTGCAGCAATTTCAAACATAAAGCCTAATACAGAAAAGTTGTGTCCAGAAAAGCAGAATCAAGTAAGATTTTAATCTTATGAATTAAAAAAAAAATTTTAGCATTTAATATCAAATCTTTTTCTTATCATAATCATATAATGAAAGAAAATGTGACAAATTCCCACCAAGCTTTACATGATGCTTCTAAATCTGCTTCTGTTAACCCCAGTGTGCCAAACAAATATGACTTTCCACATGTGCCATGATGTGAAAAATGTTGGGAAGCAGTGAAATAAGGGGTAAGAAGAAAGTACCAAGATAAGCACCAACAGGAAAGAAGAGGGCATTTTCATTGCTATATAAAAACGTGTTACAAATGATCACCCAGTTCTTTCTTTGGTAGGCCCGGAGTATTTGAACTTTCTGCTGCTTCCCCATCCTCCACTCCTGCCCCATCAATAGCCTGAATCACCAGAAAAGCAGTCCAATCTTATAATCCACACATATTATCAAAGAACTTCTCAGTTGAAAACAACCCATTGTATCATGCTGTTGTTGTCAGGTGCTGTTGAGTTGGTTCCGACTCATAGCAACCCTACAGGACAGAGTAGAACTGCCCCATAGGGTTTCCAAGGAGCGGCTGGTGGATTTGAACTGCCGACCTTTTGATTAGCAGCCAAGCTCTTAACCACTATGCCACAAGGGCTTCCATTGTAGCATAGACTGATGAAAATGTCCATCAAATTTCAATATATTAGTATCTTTTCTCTGCACAGAGAAATCTTGATTTGCTTTCTGAATGCAATTACAAGAGAAGCATAAGATATTATACAGCCCGCTAAAATCGTAATATTATGTAGAAATACTGAAAAACATTTACAGTATAAAATTACGTTAAAAAGAAATACAAGAGAGTACATATATTCAGAATATAAAACATTTACAAATGCATACTTTGAAAAGGTAATAAAAATTTAAGTAATGTTAGACCTGCATAATTAAATATTTTTTATTATTAAAATTTTTGTCTTAATATTGTTATACTGCCTTCAACTATAATGACAATAGTATTTTTCAAAAAGTTAAATGAATTGATAATATGTCTGCAAGTTCCTACTGTTTTCTGCTGTTGATTTCCGGAAATTAACTGACATTTGCTCCTACAAATGAATCAAAACCTCCTGTTCAAACAAGGGCTCAAGTGTTAACTACGAATAAGTGCTTGTTAACCCTTTATAACCTTTCAATGCTAAACAGAAAGGTGATTTTTAAAACTATTTATAATCTGTCCTTCTTACTTTAATCTCCACTGAAAAATATTATTTCATATTCTTCAGCACCAAAACATACAGCTGCTTTGACATGAGGACCTCAAAATAACAAAAAAAAAAAAAAAAAACCAAACCTCATCAATTTTTAAGAACCAAGAAAGAATTGTCTACATAATTAATCTTATTTTAAAAACCAGAAACAAAAGCCAGAACTAAGATTTCAGAATTACTATTTTAAAAATAAGTCTACCTGCTAGATTTTAAGCTGTCTGTTGGCTCTTACTATGATTAGCACAGATGAACATACTAGAATGGCACTCTGATTAGCTAAAATTTACTAAGGACTTACTAGGTGGTGGGCATTGGATACTAAGTACTTTATATATTTAATTTAAACTTAACAAGAATTTTTTGGAGGTAGTTATTATTATCCTCATAACCCAGGAGGTCAAGTAACTTGCTTAGCAGAGTGGATTAGAACTTGGGTATACCTGTAGTCTACTGGACAGACATATAAATAATAAATAGTTAAGCACCTACAGTGAATACAGGTAAGTAGCTACCGAGAAACAAAGCCACTGAGGTTAGGTCAGTGGTTTCAATACAGGTCTCCGGCGCAACTCTTACATGTGTGTGTTTATGCATTTTATCTTAGCCAGACTTTAACTTAGCCCCCAATCAATGAAGGTTCACATATTTCCATTGAGAAGTCTCATAATTATCTTTTAAAGTGAGAAACAAATTCATGAGTGTAACTTAAGTCATCATGCAGATCAACTCCCATGTATAAAGTAAACATCTGGAATTTCAAGTGTCTACATCTTATGAGAGATATCATGGTAAACTGTCTTTTTCAAACTTGTACTTGAATCCCATCTCTGCTACCTGATGGCTGGGAGACTATGAACATATTACTTGACCTCATTATATCTCATTTTCCTCATTTGAAATGAAGTAATGCTGCAAAGAATAAATGAGAGCACGTTACCAGGCTTGGCACCAAAAAGTGCCCAGTCAATGTGATTTCCTTTACTGTCTTGTATAGTCTTAAAATAGATGTTTTATTTCAGTACTTTAGCTATGCATAAATCCGTATTTTTGTCATGACAATAAACTTAAAATTACATAATTAAGAAAAAAAATTACCTGAAGCATTGTTGAAAAATGCCTTATTGCTTCATCATAGAGACCACTGCCAATCAACACATAAGCAATAGCTATGAAACAAAACACAAAAATATTAAAGGAAATGACAAAAGATTTCACACTGGAATCACTAACTCTAAATTCTTTGCTAAATCTTAAAATATACCTCCAAGGACTGGAAGCAGTAAAAGAAATCCTAGAAGAAAACAAGATATCATTGAATTCTTCTACTTTGAACCTTCCACCACTAAGCCTTCCAGTTCTATCTAGATTAAATTATTAATCTATAAAATATCTGCCTACAAGAATTATCTTTTTCTAAGCCCACCACGCACTTCCAAATCCCAAATAACCCTTATCGTGCTTTCTATCTGCATATAAAAAGAGCTATTAATAAGCCTGAATAATATTCACATAACATTGTATTGTGACTTTACTGAAAAAGTTATGAGAAATACTCGAATAGCATCACAAATCTAGATATCTAGAGATGTTTACTTTACTTCCAATTGTTTACTTTACTTCCAATTACCTAGTTTGAACAAAAACAGGGACTTAAATTAATATAAAGCCTATAAATGCTTAACTACAGAAAATTAATGCCACTGCAATGCAATGACGGCCTTTTCCCTGCCTCGCCTATTCAAAATATAGTCAAAATACTACCCAAAATATACAGTAAAATTGACCAGTTTTTGATCAAATTGTTTAGGCAAGTGATAGTTTGAAATTAGAGCTATGACAACCTCTTAAAACATGGCAAGATTTTGACTAAACTCTCACCTGTCCCCAAAAAAGTTTTTTATCTTAATATTCTAGATTAGATTACATCGCCCTAGTCCTCTCATCCCTCAGATAGGACCTACTATGTGTTCAAGAAGATAGGCAACTAAAATTTTTACTGTCATGAAGAGCCTAAATTCCTTGGCAGTTAAAAGTAGTAGGAAAATTAAATGCAGGGAAAGATATGAAGTATCTTTATAAGTAACCTGACAAAAGTAAAATTCAAAAATATTGAACATCATAATAATACAAGAGATTTTGGAAGCATTCTTCAAAATAAAACGAGGATTGGTTTTAACCTAGTTTCTTTGAAAAGATAAACTAAGGTCAAATTCATACTCAAAATGGTAAGAATGGGTATCATTCAGATATCTAAAATCCAGATAACCAGAGACATCTTTAGTGGCGGAGTATTAGTATTTGTAGTAAAAGCAATAATAATAGTAGTAGTAGTTATATGTATTACACTCATAATTTATGTGCCAGGCAAAGCATTGTCCTAAGCCTTTATATGAATTAACTCATTCACTCCTAAACTGCACTGAGGTAGATACACTTATTGTCCCCATTTTACAGGCAAGGAAATGAGGTATAAAGAAGCTAAAACAAGTAAGAGGAAGGAACAGTGAGCAGTGATAAGAGGCTGCCCGGCTCCGGAGCCCACCCTCTTAACAACAGACTACACTGAAATACGTCAAGGCTGTACCAGCTGTGTATGGGGCTGGACTGCAAACAGTCTGAATTCCTCCATGATTACACAAATGGGCACTAAGAAATGTGCAGCTTTCGTGGTTATTTGAATGATCACATGTTAGAAAGCCAAGATCTGGGCTCAGATTCTGGCTCTGCCACTCATGGGCTGTGTGATCGTGTGACGTCAGTCACGCTTCATCACTCTGTAGGTCTTAACAAGCCTGTAGAAAATAGCCTCAAAGGTTCTTTTCAGATCTAAATTTTTAGAATTTTTTAATTAATCTTCCCACAGTCAGTAAATATTTGTTAAATGAACAAATGAATGAATGAGCCATAAGAAAAAATGGTTTTAGGGGATACATTTTGTACTTCTGGGAACATATTTAAATTGTTGGCCATGACTGTTGGTGTTAGGTGCGGTCAAGTCAATTCCAACCCATAGTGACCCTATGTACAACAGAACAAAACACTGCCTGGTCCTGCACCATCCTCACGATCACTGTCACGCTCGAGCCCATTGTTACAGCTGCTGTGTCAAATCATCTTGTTGAGGGTCTTCCTCTTTTTCACTGACCCTCTACTTTACCAAGCATGATGTCCTTCTCAGGGACTGGTTCCTCCTGATAACACATACAAAGTACATGAGACGAAGTCTCACCATCTTCATTTCTAAGAAACATTCTGGCTGTACTTCTTCTGAGACAGATTCATTCATTCTTCTGGCAGTCCATGGTATATTCAATATTCTTCAACAATACCATCATTCAAATGCATCAGTTCTTCTCTGGTCTTCCTTATTCATCGTCCAGCTTTCACAGGTATGTGAGGCTACTGAAAACATCATGGCTTGGGTCAGGCGCACTTTAGTCCTCCAAGTGACATCTTTGTTTTTTCATACTTTAAAGAGGTCTTCTGCAGCAGATGTGCCCAGTGCAATATGTTGTTTGATATCTTGACTGCTGCTTCCATGGGCGTTGATTGTGGATCCAAGTAAAATGAAATCTTGACAATGTCAATCTTTTCTCCATTTATCATGATGTGGCTTATTGGTCCAGTTGTGAAGATTTTTGTTTTCTTTATGTTGAGGTGTAACCCATACGAAGGCTGTAGTCTTTGATCTTCATCAGTAAGTACTTCGAGTCCTCTTCACTTTCAGCAATTCCACTCAAATATATCAAATGCAGTTCTTAAATCTTCCCATTTAAAAATAAACATTTTATGAGAAAAATCAAAAGTATTCGTTTAAAAAAAAAAATCACCCTAATCCAAATCTTGTACAAATAAAAATAACTATTAGGATCTAAATTTTGTGATGTCCAAAGACAAAGGAAACAGCTGGAAATCTACAGAAATCACTACTAACCAGTAATTCCATTCTACATAATGTTTACTTTTAGATGGAAAGATATAAGAACTGTATTTGCTTTATGTCCCAGCAATGTATAACCTGACAGAAGTCATTTTTCCAAGAAGCAGCAGCATTTAAAAAAAAAACCTTTGGCACAAAAACTAAGCCAGCTTAGGGCCTATACTACCCAGCGTTAGTCTTACGAGTACAGAGGAGGACCCATATTCAGCAGTAAATACAGTGACTATGAAGCTGAAAGAATCCAAAGACTTCAGAAGAGACCAAATCTGAAGCCTTAAAGGGTAATTAATTCAAAGTCTCCCAAAAAATGTCACCAAAAAGTGATTAAACCAAAAACCATACCCATAGCCGTCAAGTCAACTCTGACTCATAGTGACCCTACAAGACAGAGCAGAACTGCCCGATAGGGTTTCCAAGGAGTGGCTGGTGGATTTGGACTGCTGACCTTTTAGTTTGCAGCCACAGCTCTTGACTATCATGCCACCAGGGCTCCAAAAAGTGATTAGCACTTTCAAAACAGTCAGCTCTCAATGACCTACACTAACAGGAGAAAGGAGACAATATCAAAAATGGTTCATCTCAATACAAACTGTGGATGGCCGCAAAAATGGTAAAATGATTAAGTGAGACTGAGAAGATCTCCTACAAGAGCTTCGGACAACCACGCCCCACAGGGACCACCGCGTACTTAAGTTTGTCTACTGCAGCATCTGGGTGTCTATTCAGTTGTGCAAGTGGACTGGGCAATAAGGGAGGCACATCAGAAGCACGTCTGACACTGCTGAAACCAGCCTGCTTTAAACACGCCTTGGACAAGCCAAACTACATGACACATTTGCAGATATGAATGAATTCAGTTTGTCTACACCCACATTCTGTGACCCAGCAAGAACCGACTGGCCTCAAGAATAAAAGAAATTTAAACTTAGCTATTTTATTACACAGAAGGATAAAGTAAGTTTTCTGTGATTGTATTCTTTCACTTCTTAACTGTTCATATTTATGACAGTATACAAACAACCTTTTCATGAATGATTAATAATTACTAATTTCCACAGAAACACAGCTGGGAAATTTCTTACAGACCATTCCATCCATTCCCTTTCTTTTTTTTTTTTTTTCTTTTAAAACATATAATAAATTGGAACCTTAGAAGAGTTGAATGCCCTATCCTAGGTCAAACAGCTCGTTATTGGCAGAACCAGCTTCAGTGTTCTTTCTACCACACCACCCTGCCTTCCTGTTCTGCATCTAATAATTCTAGGCAAATACAGCAATATTCTGAGATTCATCTTACCTAACTCCTCATTTGTGCTGTCATTATCAGTAGCAAATGGGAATCTCTTTTGTTCTGCAATAGACTTGGCCTGGCTCTGAAAAAAATACCAAGAAGACAGTTTAGCTTATCACAAATGAAGAGAAAACTTATACTGTGAACTTGTATTTTTAAAAACTAAAACTACATTTGATTTAAATTAAAGTAAGAAAGTATTAGGTTCAAGTCATACTAATCACAAAAACATAGTTTGTGGTATAACAGGTTTGCTCCCTCATATCACTGGTGGTCCCATTTCCAATTAGTGGTCCCTTTTTACTTCTATAGGGATTAATCTTGCCAGCTGCTTAAGAGTTCACTCCATAATTTCAGGGCCTTTTAATAAACTCAATTATGTTGCAAAGATTACATTCTAACAACCAGTCCTCCAATGGGGCTTACTTTGTAAACTCTAACAATATTTTAGAAATAATACAAGTTGCACAGAGATGATGCCATAAAAGGGCCAGTGAAACTTCACCAAGAAATAAGACAGTCTATTAAATAATGCAAAGCAGGTTATTAATCAACCATCCTACTTAATTTAGTAGCCTCATCCTTGAAGAAACTATGCAGATACACATATGTACCTGTGGCAGGAGAGCCAAGACAAAAGTAGGGTCTGATAATCCATACAACTGCCATTTCCCCAGAAGATTTATTGTTAATAATAAGTACTGATGTACTTAGCCTATCAAAACCAAAACCAAACACATTGCCATTGAGTCAATTCAGACTCATAGCAACCCTATAGGACAGAATAAGAACTACCCCACAGAGTTTCCAAGGAGCACATGGTGAATTCGAACCGCCGACCTTTTGGTTAGCAGCTGTAGCTCTTAATCACTACGCCATCAGGTTTCCACTTAGCCTACAGCATACTCATTAAATTATAACTTTATACCAGTCACATAAGATATAGTTAAAACATGTACATACACACACACACACACACACACACACACACACACACACACACACACAGGAAATCTAAGACACTAAGAGACTAAAGGATGTGTTGCTTTTGGCAAAGCTTTAGGATTAGAACCCAGTGACAACCCAATTCCTTTTTTTTTAAATCCACAATACAGATATCCACAGGCATATACAACAGGCAAATAACTATACATGGGATACTCTTCCGACTAATTTATATGCTATTTAGCTAATGACTGGCATTTATTAGCCAAAATGAACTGTGATTTGTTGAGCTTCACTGACTTAAATAACAGGGTTTCGGGTTTCGGATATTTCCATTTCCATTCCCTGTACACTCAAAACCCATACTAATGCTCAGATACAAAGTGGTATTTGGTTTGCCCATAGAACAGGTCAAGAATAAGCTAGCTCTGATTAAAATTACAAGCCAATGGTGCAGACCAGAAGAACAGCCCATCTTGGGAGGTTCACTCATTCTACTTCACCCCATCCAGAACGCTAGACAAAATGAGACATCTGGAAATCCAACTATCACAGGGATGTTTTACGTGTTACTCTCTCCAGTAAGACCTTGGTAACTAAAGAGACACCCCATTAGTTCCTTCTTATTTTACTATGTAGCTAGGAGCTTTGACACGTAGGAATCTTGTAAGGTTTCTTTAAGACATGGCATAACAACGTATGTTTAGGTGTGGCCAGAACACAATTCCTTCCTCTCTGTCAAACAGTTACAGATAAACACATAGATCTGAACAATTTCATTGCTTAATAAACTGCTTATAGTGAAGGGAAAAAACTATAGATATTGCTTTTAAAATTTAAAAAGTCTTAATATTTCATCCAGTATTTGATATGATATTTGATGAACATCTGACTTGCCAAGACTTTGTGCTGAAAAATACGGGGATGAGAACAGAAATGAAATCCCATAAAATAAGAAATCATTTACCAAGCCACATCAAGAACTACTAAAGAAATATATCTGATGTAAAATTGTTTCTATTAGAAATAAAATCTGTAACAAAAGCGGGCAGGAAAAGTATAGTATGAACAATTGAATTCTTGATCAAAAAGTATCTTATTCCATGTCTAATACTACCCCTGTAGATATCTTCTGTGGACAGAGGTGAGGAGCTATGATCAAGTAAATTTAAAAACAGAAACTGACATTCCTAGTAGACTAACCCCAACCCATCCTTCACGTCCCTGCTTACGTTTCAGTGCCTGAAAGCTGTCTTGCCTGATCACCCTAATTTAAATAAGATTACATTACATTACCCTTTACTTCTCTTTCATATGATTTGCATAATTTTCTTGTATATTTATTTGTGTAATCATTTTGTTAGTGAGTGTAAAAGTCATGAGTATAGGACACAGTCTGTCTGGTTCACTGCTATATTCCCAGCACATAAAAAACCAAAACAAATCCACTACTGTTGAGTCGATTCTGACTCATAGTGACCCCTACAGGACAGAGTAGCACTGCCCCATTGGCTTTCCAAGGAGCAGCTGGCAGATTCGAACTGCCAACCTTTTGGTTAGCAGCTGAGTTCTTAACCACTGCGCTCCAAATATCTGTAGAATTAATGATTAAATGTATACTGTAAGTTCCCTATTTTCACCCTAGGGAAACTGAAAGGTCAAGATTGATGAACTTTCTCCCATAGGTTATTGGCTGGTACCATCTTAAACTAGAAATGCAACTAGTAGAAAATATTTGAATCCCAAGATGCCTCTGGGTGGACTCGAACCTCCAACTTTTTGGTTAGTAGCTGAGCACTTAACCTTATTTGCCCCACTCAGGGACTCCTAGAAATAAGATTCAGCCATGGTCTCCTAGATCCAGAATGATGGACCATTCCATTCATAAGTAATAACAATTCAATGTGACCAAATAACAGATGACCTAGCTTTACCTTGTGCACATAAAACCAACTGGACCTAGCTGATAAACAGAAGCAGCCCCCATTTACTGGAACTAGCTCATTGTGTTTTAGGTCACAAAACACAGAAAGCATGGATGAAAGAAGCATACCAGAATCTTTTCTGTGTTGAGGGAAAGCAAAGAGTCACAAGCTGGTGATCCTTTGGGCTCGCAGTCTGAATCGTGGAAGTTCAAAAAGGAAGACTCTGAAAAGCAAACATTCCTTGTTATTCTCTTCACTTTAAATATATGGTTCTAGCTATGAATTGGAATTTTAAGAATCTACAAAATCAAAACAAGGACAAATGTGAAAACACTAAAAGCCACAGCATCTTCCACATTTACAACTGTGTAACGTTTTATGGTTTCCACATGTTGTGCACATACATGAGCGATTGTCCTCACAACCCTCCTGGGAATGAGCAAAGTGAGTTAGACCCCTCAGATGATGAAATGAAGTTTAGAAGGGCTGTGACTTATCTAAAGGTAACAGTGACAGAAATAGTACTAGCTCAATGCTCGTTTCACTAGTCACGTGAAATTAATATAGTTCTTAAATCCTTTAATTATGCATCTTCTATCTGCCAACATTCGTCACACATTTAAAAGAAAAAAATCACAATAGGGAGATTTAAAGGAATAAAATGAGAGGAAACAAAACCAGACCAGGGAGACCTAATGTTAAAAAAAAAACAAAAAACAGGTGCCACTGAATTGATTCCAACGCATGGTGACTCCATGTATGCCAGAGTAGAACTATGCTCCATAGGGTTTTCAATGGCTGATTTTTCAAAATAAATCACCAGTCCGTTGTTCCAAGATTCCTTTCTTCCAAGGCGCCACCAACCTTTCAGTTAGCAGCAAGCACATTAACTGTTTGCACCAATGTATACTAATTCTGTAGTCATTAAAGAGCATCAAATTATGTTCAAGGAATCATTTGAAGGAAAGCATAGACTATAGAGTAATACCAAAATCAATCTGTTCCCTTAAGGAACTTAAAATTTAACTAGATAAATTCTCATACATATAAATTTTACATTGTACGTCTTCACATTATAAAACAGGACATGGTCTGGCAAAGAAGCCCTGAGGTAGTTATTGATTACAAACGGCTGGAATGCCAAATTTCACAGGAGCACAAGTAGGGTTTAAAAGGATGGATGGAATCTTCTACAAAACACTAGTAAACCAAATCCAACAGCATATTAAAGGGATTACAGACCATGAGTAAGTGGGATTTATCCTAAGAATGCAAGGTGGTTCAACATAAGAAAATCAATCAATATAACTTACCACATTAATGGAACAAAGGAAAGAAACACATGAGCATCTCTATTGATGCAGAAAAGGCATGTGAGAAAATGCAACATACTTTCATGATAAAAAGACTCAGAAACTAGTAGAGGGGAAATTTCTCAACATGATAAAGGGCAATTATAAAAAACCCACTGCTAACATCGTACTCAATGGTGAAAGACTGAAAGCTTTCCCCCTAAGATGAGAACAAGACAAGGATGCCTCCTCTCACCACTGCTGATCAACATTGTACTGGAAGTCCTAGTGAGAGCAATTTCGCAGGAAAAATAAATAAAAGGTACCCAGATCAGAAAGGAAGAAGTAAAACTCTCTCTCCATGCAGATGACATGATCCAGTGCACAGATAATCCCAAGGCATCCATGAGAAAGCTACTAGAGCTAATCAATTAATTCAGGAAAGTGGCAGGGTACAAGGTCAACACAAAAAAATCAGTTGTGTTTCTATACAGTCAGCAATGAACAATCTGAAAAGGAAATGGGGGGGAGGGTGGTGGATTCCATTTACAATAGCATCCAAAGGAGTAAAAAATCTAAGAATAAATTTAACCAAGGAGGTGAAAGACGTGTACATTGAAAACTATAAAACACTGCTCAAATAAATCAAGAAGACCTAAATAAATGGAAAGACTTGGATTCATGTATTGGAGAACTTAATATTGTTAAGATGTCAGTACTACCTAAAGTGATCTACAAATTCAACATAATCCCTATCAAAATTTCAATGACCTTTTTTGCGCAGAAATGGGAAAGCTAGTTCTCAAATTCCTATTGGAATTACAAGAGGCCCCAAATAGCCAAAACAACTTTGCAAAAGAAGAACAAAGTTGGAGTCCTCACATTTTCTGATTTCAAAACTTACCACATAGCTACAGTAATCAAAACACTGTAGTACTGGTATAAGGAAAGGCATAATGACCAACAGAATAGAATTGAGAATCTAGAAATAAAACCATACATTTATGGCCAACTGATTTTTGGCAAGGGTGCCAAGTTCATTCAGTGGGGGAAAGAACAGTCTCTTCAACAAATGGTGCTGGGACAACTGGATCTCCACATGCAAAAGAATGAAGTTGGACCCACAAATCATACCATATACAAAAATTAAGTCAAGCCAGGGGACCCCAAGATAGTGCCTTAGACTGACATATGATAATGTCCCCCTAAAACAAAGACTCGAGAAGCCAACTGAAACAGATACAGATGCCAACCTTGGAACCCTGAACATCAAACAGAAGTCTGAAGAATTGGCACCACATGTAAGGAGAAACAGAAAACAGCGGATGTAGAGATTTACGGACCCAGCTGGCAGCTTGGTACCCTGTCAGCTGGCCCAGCACGGCATGGCCATCTTGAGACAAAGCAGGCAGAGTTCCCAGGTGAGGAGCACAGGAAGGCAACTATACAGAATTCACAACAGGAGAAAAAGATACTGGATAAACAAACCCAGAATGAATCAAGGTGAGCAGGATGCAAGCCAGGGCTAAAAAGGGAAAGTATAGGAAGACTGGGCAAGAGTTCCACTGATTCTGAGACCACAGAGAAGGGAGGGAGCCAGGAACTGGGGAAGTGACTACTCACCAGTGGCAATGCCTGTCCATCTCGCCAGGAAACACCCACTGAATAGTAAAACCATACAGTAGCAACTAGAGGTCCCCAACCCAGCCAGCTCCATGCAACCTCCTGTCACACATTTAAACAGACCAAGCCCCAATTCCCTGCACCCACTCCCAGCAACTGGTGGGAGAGACCAGTGGGAGTACACCTGCTGCCTGGCAATTGGCGGGAGCACCTCTTTGCCTGCAGCCTGGCGACCAGTGGGAGTGCATTTTTGCCCCAGCCTAGCAGCTTGCAGGAGTGCTCCCTCATATGCAGCCCAGAGATTGGTGAGAGGGCACCTGTAGCCCGGTGACCAGTGGGAGCACACGCTTGCCCCGCCTAGTGACTGACAGGAGCTTCCCCTCGCCTGCTGCCTGGTGATCAGCGGGAGCACCCTGGAACCTGCCGCCTGGTGACTGGCAGGAGTGCACTTGCAGCCCAGCGACCAGCGGGAGTGTGCCTGTAGCCTGGTGACCAGCGGGAGCACCTTGGCACCTGCTACCCGGCAACTGGCAGGAGCGTGCTTACAGCCTGGAAACCAGTGGGAACATGCCTGTAGCCCAGTGACTGACAGGAGGATGCCTGTAGCCTGCTGACTGATGGGAATGTCCCAGCACCCACTACCCAGTGACTGGCAAGAGCACAACTGCAGCCCACAGCCTGTAGACCAGTGGGAGGACACCTGCGACCCAGTGACCAGGAGGAGCACCTCCTCACCCATTGCCAGGTGACTCGTGGGAGGGTCCAGCACCTGCTGCTTGGCAACCAGCGGGAACGCCCCTGCATCCACTATCCAGCAACTGGCGCAATTCCCACATAGCCATACTGGAAATGCATGCTGTGTCACTGCACAGCAACCAGCAGGCATGCTTCATGCCCTAGCCCAGAGACTAGCAGATAGACTCTGGCGCACCCTTCCAACGACTACCTGGCACAGCACGGCAGACATACCCCATTACCAGTGACTGCCAGGTGCATCCTGACAGGCTCCAACAGTGTCCTCGCACAACAACAAGCAGGTAGTCCCTCTGCCAGCAACCAATAATCCACGAGGCTACAGCGACACGCACCCTACACCCAGCCAGTTCCTGCAGGCTGACACCAGATGCATGGAGACCCCTTGATCTCCCACCACCTACTGTGACACCAATTCGGACCTGCACAAAGGGCCTACCCCTTCCATTTGAGTAGCATTGCCACTCTGTGGTTACAAAGACAACCTGTCCTGCTCTCCAGCAGACGAACAACTGCTAACACCAACCTAGAAGGATCCCACAGCCCCACAGGGGCTGTGGAAGGACCCTGACCACACAACACTAATCACACAATATCAGGGAAAGAACCTGCCCTCCCACCTCCACTCAATCCGGTAAGGGAAGACATATGAGCCTAACCACAAAGGACTTACATGTGGGTGTAACCCACCATATCCACTAGAGAGGAAATCACTCCTAGCCAACAGATACCACCAAAGTCACACACAGACCACAACCACAAAACAACAATTAAAATAATACAAAGGAAGAAAGATATTGTAAACGGAAAGAGAAGCAAAGCTCTGCATACATCAAAACAAAACAAAAAAAATCAGCATACAATCAATAAAGAAATATATTAATAAATTAACACCTAATGCCTCAGAGACAGCAGACAATAACAAATCATATGAAGATGGCTCAGACTAGTAGGCAAAACATAGGAACAGAAACCTTTCCTGAGGAAATGGTAATGCATCTACTTGATAAGGAATTCAAAAGAATTATATATAGGATCTTCAAAGAGATCATGGAAAAAACAGACAAAATGCTAGAAGAGTTCAGGAAAACAATACAAGAACAAAATGACAAATAAACTGATAATTAGAAACCACACAAAAACAACTAGAAATACAGAAGATTAATAATAAAATATCAGAAGTAGATAACTCATTGGAAGGACACAGAAGTAGAATTGGATCAATGGAAGACAGAACCAGCAAAATAGAAGACAAATCCCTTGATACCAACTTGTCTGAGGAACAATCAGAAAAAAGAATGAAGACAAATGAAAAAGCCTAGGAGTTACGTAAGACATTATCAAGAGGAATAATTTACACGTAATAGAAATTCCAGAACAGGGCGGGGGGGGGAAGCACTGAGAGAATTTTTGAAGATTTACTGTCAGAAAACTTTCCTAATATCATGAAAGATAAGGTTTCCACCCAAGAAGCTCAACAAACCCCATACAGGATAGATCCCAAAAGAAAGTCACCAAGACATACCATAATCAAACTTTCCAAAACCAAAGACAA